TAAATGTGTCAATAATTAATTAAAATGTGAAATACATAAATAATTAATTAAATGTGTCAATAATTAATTAATTACATGTGTCAATAATTAATTAAAATGTGAAATACATAAATAATTAATTAAATGTGTCAATAATTAATTAAAATGTGAAATACATAAATAATTAATTAAATGTGTCAATAATTAATTAATTACATGTGTCATAACTATTTATTCAATTAATTAATTCCAATTTTAATTAATTATTGACACATTTAATTAATTATTTAATGGTGTATTTAATTAATTCATTATGGCAGTCCTGGCGCCTTGATACAATAAACAAATGTATGTGATTTTTTTATGCATTTGAAATTTTAAATGGGTCGGTGCCGACCCTAACACGAGAGGAAGGTTAAACCAGCTTGTTGCCAAAAAAAGATGCATCCTGACAAAATGGCATAAGAGCAAAGAAAATTGAATGTTATGATTTTCTGTTATTTTAACTTTTGCTGAAAAGCAGAAATTTTATTTATATATCCATTTATTTTATTTTTTTTGCATCATGTTCATATTTTGAATATTTATCATTTTGACAGGTCATACTTTAGCGGCCAGGAAAATGGGCCCCAGGGATTTGTTCATGTTAGAGGTTAGAACATTTGGATGGATCTGCTCTCATTTCGAGAAATCTGGCCATATTTAATAAACCCCCAAATACATGACTGTTCAGTGCCAGCATCAGGAAGTAGAGTATCTTGTTATTCCCTCCAATACCTTAAAACTGTGTTTGTTCCCAGACCATCAAAAACAAAAACAAAACAAACCCCTAAAAAACTCTTAGCATATGAATTGAGCTCAACTTTATTTACTGTGCCTTACAGAAACCTGATTATAGCAGGATCATTGTGTTAATTTAAATGAATCAGCTACCCTTATCCAGGGACAGATAAACAGGGGCAGCAGCCTAAATAGAGAAGCTCAGACCTCTCCCTGCCACCTCTTCCAGCCTTTCCGGGAGACCACCAAGGCATTCTCAGGCCAGCCAAGAGATACAATCTCTCCAGCGTGTCCTGGAAACATGTGATCTAGGAGACGCCCAGGAGGCATCCTTGTCAGAAGCTCGAACCACCTCAACTGTCTCCCTTTCGATGTGGAGCAGCCGCAGCTCTACTCTGAGCCCCTCCCAGATGGCCAAACTCCTCACCCTATCTCTAAAGCAGCGTTCATTTGGTCACCACCCAAAGTTTGTGATCATAGGTGAATTAAGAGATTCACGAAGCTCTCTATCAATCTCTGAATTACTGCCACTGCAGCACCAATCCATCTGTCACTCTCCTGCTACCTTCTCCCCTCACTTGTTAAAAAGACCCCAAGATAAACTCCTCCACTTGGGGCAGGAACACATCCTTGATCCAGAGTGAGCACTCCATCCTTTTCCGGCTGAGGACCATGGCCTTTGGAGGTGCTGATTTTTATTCCCACCATTTCACACACAGCTGCAAAATGCTCCAGTGTGAGCTGGAAATCGTCACCTGATGAAGCCAACAGAACCACATGATTGTTGTGGTTCTGTTGGCTACGGAGCAGTTTATGTCTGACAATATTTTCACGGACTGGCCTTTAAGGTGTCGTGGATAAATACAACCAAATAAATACAGTACCGGCACCCAAAAAAAAAAAGATGATTTTGCCATGGTCCACAGCTCAGTGTCTGAGGAGCGGTTGGGATGCCCACACCTGCGGGTGTGGCTGTCGTCTTCACACCTGCATCCCATTTCAGGCGATCACCAGGGGACTATTTAACCCCCTCACTGCCGGCTGCTCCACGCCAGTTCGCCCCTTGCGAAGGTTGATGAGGAATTTCTGCTTTCTATGAACTGTGTTAATCCTGTTACTATGTTTCCTGCTACTGTGTTACTGAGCTTTCACCTGCATGTCCTCCTGCCTGCCTGGAGTTCAGATAAACCACCTGTCATCATCCTCTCCGTCTCCCTGGAATCCTCTCCCGCGGACATTCACCCCTGCCTCCATTTCCAACGGTCCGGCCCGATCGTAAGATAAATAGCTCTACCCCGTTGTATGCTGTTATCTCCCTGCTCCCCAGTAACTCGCTCCCTTTTCTGTTGCAGCCTCCCACGGTTCTGATCATGGCGTTCCCAAATCGTTTATCTCCAGGTCACTTCTGTGAAACAGCATGTTCCTTTTGGTTATTCCGGGTTGCCTTTAGTTGAGAAATAAAGTTTATTCTGTGCCCATTTCCTGCGTATTGTGTTTGCTTCTGGGTCAAGCTTGCATGTTAGAACTACAGTTCTTGACAAATTTATTCATAACATACGAGAAAAGACCCAGGGAAACTATGTTAACGATGAAAGACAAGAAATAATAACGATAAAACGATAAAAACCAATAAAAACCCTGAAAACCATAAATTTCACACCTGAACCTCAACTCTCGCAGCCCGGTACCAAACAACTCATGGACTGGTTCTGGTCCATGGCCTGGGGGTTGGGGACCACTGGTCTAAATGACCAAGGCATGCACTGTGGTCTCATAAGGAAACTCAGCTTTTTGATATGAAGTTTTTCTGTTCCCAGATACAAATATTTTTGTTCCAAATAACTATTTGGTAATATCTTATGTCCCCCTTACCGAACAGCTCGTCTCACTGTGAGTCCCAGCAGCTCTCAGTTCTTTAAAGGAAGCCTTGTAACTTTGCACTGTGAGGAGGATGACGGCTCTGCTCGCAGCTCGTTCAGTCTGTGGAGAAACACAAGCAAAAAACTGATGATTCAGTGTGGAGCTGACTTTGGAATATGGTCTGTTTCTTCATGTACCATGAGCTACATCTACACGTGGGACAGTGGAGTTTACTGGTGTGAGTCCAGAGAGGGTCCCATCAGTAACATGGTTAACCTGACAGTCACTGGTAAGCTGAGTGTGTGGAGTTAGTGTTGATGAAGCTGTGTGTAAATGGATGAAATGCTGTAGTTTGTCTCTGTGTTGAGGTGGATCAGTGATCCTGCAGAGTCCTGTCCTCCCTGTGATGGAGGGAGATGACGTCACTCTGCTCTGTAAAACAAAGACCACTCCCTCCAACCTCCCAGCTGCTTTCTATAAAGATGGCTCCCTCATCAGGAAGCAGCCTACAGGTCACATGACCATCCAGCATGTTTCCAGGTCTGATGAAGGCCTCTACAAGTGTGACATCAGCGGTCATGGAGAGTCTCCATCCAGCTGGATCACTGTCACAGGTGAGGAGCTTCACTCTGATTTTTTCCCACTCACTTCATCCACATTTTCACCTGAACAGGTGGGATTCTCTCTGCAGATATACCTGCAATTACAGCCCTTCCTACTCCAGAAACTCCAGGAACTTCTCAAACTTCCCTTCATTTTGACTTTACACTCATTCGCTATCTGGTGGTCTTCTGTCCATACTTCATCTCCACTCTCATCATGGTATCTTTATATCGATGTAGAGGTAAAGCATTAAAATAATATAGATGCTAATATACATCTAAATAATAAATACATAATACATAATTAAAAAAATTAAATACATATATATTTTCTATCTGAATCTGCAGGAAATGACCTGTCCATCTCTGAACCAATGAGCATACCAAGGCCGAGGGATTGAATGAAGAGGATGATATTCTCACAAAAGAGCATCTAGAGATCCATCCCATCAAGGAGCGGCGAGTGCTTTTTCACAGCACATAGATATGCTGTGAAAACAACCAGAAAAGGCTGCTGCATATAAGCAAATTATATGCGGGGAGTCTGACCCAATAATAATAATAATTTGCCTCATCCCATGAGCCAAGATGTGAAAAAAAATGGGTCATTGTCAGAGATTTCAGGTGAAACCACGATGAGACCTTCCCTTATTATTGGAACTACTGAGATCATCTGATGCAAGGTGTGAGTGGCCATTGAGCCGCCTGGGAAGGGATCTCAAAACTGCGTTATAGATGGCAGACAGTTGGTGTCGTAGAGATGCTTGTCTCCTCTGGATCTCAGGGAAAGCCAGGTCCAATCCTTTCCCCTCACTCGCCTTCCAAGATGCTCACCAGGCCACTCTCCCCTCCCTCCAGAGCCATATGCGCTCCAACTGTCAAGTAAGACACAAATCCAGTAACCCTCACTTCACCAGTCTTCGCTCCCCTCACTTCCTTCCTAACCACACTCTCCCTCTGTTTACAGTTTCACCACGTCAGAGACTTCCTGCCAAGCTTTCTTCCCTCGTGTCGATCTTTACTCTTGTGTTCAATAAGGCTTATGTGAAATCTTATCACTCCCTCCTGTGGTTGAATCTTCACTTGAGTCCACATTTTACGTACTGGCCTCCGAGCCCTTTTCACAATCAGCAGCTGGAATTGCGCCATGGAGGGATACTCTTTGAGAAGAAATCTCCTGACAACTAACTTTTCAATTTCATAACTTCCAAGAGGAGTGAAATTAATGGGCATTAATATACATGCTAACTACTCACTTATGTGTGTTGGCCCTACAAGAAAAGACGTTTAAATTTTTCAATTTCATCTCCAGATTTTAAGCATCGACAAAATGTTAATACAACATCATCACTTGGTATGTATAATTTGTGTTGTTGTAAATAAAATTTGGGGGTAAGCATACCAGATTGGGGTTTTTATGGCAAAAAAAGATATAACTAATATTGAGTATATTAGCTATTCTCTATTTTTAAATGTTTTTCATGAAAGATAAAACATGAACTAGGCTAATCCATACATAACAAGATAAACAAGCATAAAATTCTTAAAAATCTAAAACAGACATGCACATTGATTACCAAACACAAATATTCAATATCCACACAACATTTTTGAGTAGTTAGATCTTGAAGGCTTCCTGGGCTTCTGTCTCTTGCAGAGCAGAAACATCCTTCTCACGGTACTTTAGTGCAGACAGGTGAGAGGAGGTCAAGGGGGATCAGAGCAGAGGGGGGTGAGGGCTGCAGAAAGTCTTGTGTAGATGTGAGGTGAACAGATTGGAGGTGTGAACAGACTGACTTTCAAATCTGCGGTAGAAGGTGTGAAGCCAGTTGAGGATTTTCCTCAGGGTGGAGGGATGGACTCCTCTAGCTGGTGGTGTGGTGCAGGCCTCTCAAAATTGATGCAAGCTGTTTGGTTGAGAAGCTGTTTTTTTTTTGCTTCTCACTGCAATTCATTTCTTCAATGATTGTCTACTTTCAAGATTAGGCTTAAAACTTTTATTTTTGTTAAAGCATATATTTAGGGCTGGATCAGGTGACCCTGAATCCTCCCTTAGTTATGCTGCAATAGACATAGGCTGCCGGGGGATTCCCATGATGCATTGAGTTTTTCCTTTCCAGTCACCTTTCTCACTCACTATGTATTAACAGACCTCTCTGCATTGAATCATATCTGTTATTAACCTCTGTCTCTCTTCCACAGCATGTCTTTATCCTGTCTTCCTTCTCTCACCCCAACCGGTCGCAGCAGATGGCCCCGCCCCTCCCTGAGCCTGGTTTTGCTGGAGGTTTCTTCCTGTTAAAAGGGAGTTTTTCCTTCCCACTGTTGCCAAAGTGCTTGCTCATAGGGGGTCATATGATTGTTGGGTTTTTCTCTGTATCTATGAAGCGCCTTGAGGCAACTTATGTTGTGATTTGGCGCTATATAAATAAAATTGAATTGAATTGAATGTTTGAACTATAAGCACTAGAATATTGGGTCCTGGTTATTAAATTGTATTTGACTGTTTATTTGTTTTTGAATTATTTTGTTTATTGCTCTTATAAGTTGTTTTGATGATCTTTCAGTGACATATTTTTTATTTTGTGCTGTACTGGCAGGCGTGTGACACACACAGATCAGACCCGTATTTCTGTGTTGCAGATGTGTAGTAAAGAGCCAAAGACCCAGTGCTTTCTCCTGCCTCTTACTTTCACGCCAGAACACCACGAAATGAAAGGCATAACACATGAACAGGTTACAAAAAGCACAGACCTGGGGAAGAAAGTGTTTAGGAAGCATTTAATGGTGAAGATTAGTGTTGTGTGAACTCTGCAGCTTCTAACCGTGGCTCAGGGGTGACCGTGTAAGCGTATCTGTAACCAGAAGGTCGCCGGTTCGATCCCCGGGCTCTCTGTCCTGGTCGTTGTGTCCTTGTGTCCTACCGCCTACTGGTGTTGGCCAGAGGGGCTGATGGTGCGATATGGCAGCCTCGCCTCTGTCAGTCTGCCCCAGGGCAGCTGTGGCTACAACTGTAGCTGCCTCCACCAGTGTGTGAATGCGAGAGTGACTGAATAGTGACATTGCAAAGCGCTTTGGGTGCCTATAAAGCGCTATATAAATCCAATCCATTATTATTATTATTTTTATTAATAAAAAAGGGGGACATTTCTCTGTGTATTTAGCAGGTGGAACTATGTTGGTTGGCCCCAGACTTTCCAGAATTGTGTGATATTCGGGAGCACTTGTGGGCAACCAGTAAATATGATGTGGGGAAAATGAACAAAGGTAGTGACTCGTAAGTCTGATTTCAGACCATGTAAGCATCAGTTATTAATTAAAGCCAGAATCAGTGACTGCAGTGTAACACACCCAAAGAAAGACTCTAGGTCTGACCAACCGTCTCAGTCGTGGGCAAAAAGATGACAGTCAATAAAATTCTAAAAGATAATTTATTGAGAAAAAAAATCAAGAGATAAAACATAAATCAGTCCAGTGTCCCATTTATGAATCAAATAAAAACACACAGTCCCAAGGCCAGAGCCAGCTATGCCACACTGCCAGTTGCACTCCACGTGTTGCCTTTAATAGGGTTAGAAGTTGTCCTCTGAGACCCACCACCCTGCAAGCACATAGCCAGTGGTCACTCTAGCCTCTGCAACTCTGCTGCCTTTAGGCTGTGGCATATAATAGGCCCTGGCCTGCACAGAGAGACAAAACAACACTTTCACTATAGAATTCATAGCGCAAAACCCATCCATCCCAAACATATCTGGTTTCATCACATTCCATTCCATATTGCTAACGTTTGTTTCTCTCTAAGAGTGCTTGTGAAGGATTCAACACAGACAGACAAGTGATGTTAGAGTAGAAGTGCAGTGATTGTGTGACTTTTGTAGTGTTGGGCTATCTGATTACTGTTGAGCTCATAGTGATGCAAAGTGTGAGTGACATTGCTTAAGGAAAGTCACCGGTCACAGTAATGTTGCTGTGTGGTCGGCTGCAATGTTCAATCGCACGACCGGCAAGAGAATAAGCTTGAAAATGGTTTATCTTTTCATTCTTTCCCAACCTGGAAGCAACATGAGGCAGCTCGTGTATCGATGTTAGCAAACGAAGGCGTCTAGCCTGGATAGCAGCTGTGAGACGAGCTGACGTGCAGTTCTCTTCCATCTCCAAATATCTGTCGGTGCTCCAGACATTTTCGTTTCGGTAAGTTCTAAATATGTTCATATCTTTATAGCCTATTAGTTTTATTTTCGATGCGCTCTGAGCTCATAGCAAATTAGAACAAACATCCTACTGAGTGATTTTGCAGAATTACCTTCTATTTATAGAGTTGCTAATAATTTGGCATTATTTTAGCAAACCAGCCTATGAAATGGATGAAACATCGTGACTGGGTTCCAGCGCTACACAAGGGACCTGCTTCAAACATACCACCATCAGATTACTTCTTCCATGTGAGGGTGAAGAGGTGACCCTCCTGAATAAGATGGTGAAGGTTTGCTGCGTTTGATTTCTGAACGAAATCGGTCTCTATACAGTCCATTCTCTTTTGAGCTGCTTTTAAGCATCTTGTAATCTTCGTTCCAACACAGTGTGTTTGTTTTGATTCGTAGACCCCGAAAATGGTGCCTCGCTCCCACAATGCTTTGCGGCGTGACGTCAACTCCAAAGCGCTAAGCGCTAATTTTGAAACTACACCCCGCGTGGTTACGTTGCGCAAATGAGTCATGTGACCAAACCGAGTAACAAATCACGGCAGAGTCGGGAAGAAGGGGCGGAGAAATTGTGTGTGTGCAGGAGAGGTGTCGAGCAGAGAGAGAGTTACTTTTTCATGAAACTGGAGTAAAGTAGTAAACTTACAGGAACATATACCACTACCAACGTTGGGATTAATTTCTGCATCGATCTGAACACCCTTGTTTCCTGGATCGTAGCTCAGATCAGCGTGAACCACGTGGGTCTCTGCTCCCTGATCTGTTTGTTAAGACTTCCAGCTTCATCACTGGGTTTCTCTCGGTTTGTGGGCTCATCTAAAGGTAAGCTTTTAGCTCTGTTGAGAATAATAGATTGCTTGGTATACATTGGAGTTAGACAGAATGTAGAGTTTGTGATCGCTTGCAACATTACAATACGACGGGTTTTAGGGGGTAAGAATAGATACAGAAAAACAGTCTTTGAATATGAACAAAAGGATTGGCTGCAGGGCAGGAGAACAACCAGCCCCCACCCCCAGGACAGAAAGCCACAGGTACATGCGTGGGGGAGGGCAATCAGCCTTTAGAATAGGACTTAATAGGACCGTCTCCAGATGCATCCAGGGCGGGACTGGGACAAAAAAATCGGCCCGTGTTCCAGGTTAACTGGCGTTGGTCGAACAGATGTGTGGTAGACTTGCGTTTCAGGAGCTGCTACCGACAAACCAGCAAAAAAACACCAAATGTGTCATCTGTGACAGTTGTGAGGTTAACTCAAACACACTCCGTCAGTCTTGATGCTGTTGAACAACAAAATGTTTAAAAATGTCGCGAGTTGGTGATATTGTCAAACAATTTAACACCACGCCGATGTTGTTCACAGGAAGGCGAGAGTGAACGATCGGGAGACTCTTGTCGTCGTTATCGTTCCCGTCGCACGTTTTATTACCCCGATTTCAGCGTTTTTGCTTCACAACTAAAGTGTGCAGTTTACTTTGTTTGCACTAACATGGACTCGAATCAACCAGCTCTGGCCAAGTGCCACAGCCTACAGCCAGATTCATTTCGTTTCATTTAACGATCCACTTTCGCTCTTCTCATTCTCCGTCACCAATGTGCTTTTTCCAGCCATGTGTGTATGAAAACAAAGGCAATGCGCATGCGTGTTTTACCCTTATTTTATTGCGGTATTTAATTTTCTTATTGTTGCCCAACATTATACCGGTATTACCGTGAGCAGTATGATATAGCCCAGCCCTATATTTAAAAGTTTACTATTTGGCTCCCCCACATCAACTAAAAAATTATCCACACCTACCACTACGCTATGAAATTTGAGGCAGCTCTTCCTGCTCTTTTTATGACAGGCAGACCCCCACTGTCATTCTTGTGGGTTTGGTATCATAAGATTAATTGGAAGGTGGAGAAGCTCACTTTACGATCGTTTTTAAAGCAACAGTTTTGTATAGCACTTTTAGTTCCAATCATGCAGGCCTGCTTGAAGGAGAGCAGATTCTCAAACCTAACTTTCAGTGCACTCCTCAAACATTAAAAAATAAAAATTTTTTTACAAAATGTAAAAATATGAAAGCCTAGTTTTAGGACTTTTCACTTCCACTTGGTAACAAAAATGCAAGTTTCATTCCATGTAACAAGAAAGAAAGAAAAGAAAGTGTACTTTATTGGTCCCCGTGGGGAAAATCGCTCTCTGCATTTAACCCATTCACTCAGTGAAGCAGTGGGCAGCCATTGGGCGCCCGGGGAGCAGTGTGTAGGGACGGTACCTTGCTCAGGGGTACCTCAGGGTAGCTGTTCAGGGGAATCGAACCCCCGACCTTCTGATCATGGGGCCACCACTCTACCTACTGAGCTATCCCTGCCCCCAATGTATGAAGCAGTGGGCAGCCAACTTCCTTCTTCCCTCCCCATGTTCTGAACACAATACAAATACACTTTGTAACTTAAGAGATAGTGTTTTATTTTTTGCCCTAAATTAGAGCTGGGCGATAGAA